GGGGATGTCACACTTCCGGTTATATTAACTTCCTGTACGTAATACTAGATCCAGTCTCCTACTGTTATATAAACACGCGTACTCACCATAGCCGCCATATTGTAACATATTTTCAATAAAGCTAGTTTCAAATAAAACGTGCAAGTTTACATAGACAAGAGTACAAAACGTGAAACGCAAACGCTAAGCGTGAAAGGCTAAAAGCGTGGCATGATCCTCAGGAGATGTTTTCGTAATGTCCATTGAAACACAAGTATTATATATCCATGAATGCACATGGTCGATCTGAGCATGCGATGCGCTGACGCAGACAATATTGTTTACATTCCGTGAGTCCGTATTAAACGTATAAAATTCGAAAAACTCAGCGATCCCGATATCGAATTTTCAGAGACGTTGCATGAAAAAAACTTTCAAACCAGTCAACTTTCAAGAAAGCGCAGAGTAGGATAAATCCAAAATCCACAGAAAAACGCAGTAAAATTGGTTGACAAATGAAAAAAATGTTTGAGACTGAAATAGTCACTCATAGAATGGCAGTCATCTTGAAAACTGATCTGCATAGTAAACTGGAACGACTGAAACACTGGAAACTGAGCCTGCGATGCGCTAACGCAAACTCGATTTCTCGACGACGAAAAAACCCCAGGAAAACACAGAAAAAAACCAAAAAAATAGGGGTTTAAGGCGCTTGACCTTTCAGGTCAGTGTAATAAGCACGGCTATAAATAGCGCATTTTCTATGCTCTTCAGGTCAGAGAAACCCTAGAATGGTACAAATTCATTAACTAATGTTTTGTGTAATTTTGAGATCAATCATGAAGAAGTGTAGAAGATTTCAGGAAAAGCAGAACGAATACAAATTCGCGGAAGATAGGACGTCAGCCACATATTTGAAAAACTAATAGATGCATGTCTTGTTTATTTGCTGTAGTATCTAGGACATTTATTTAGCGACATTTGGTGCATTTATGAAGCGGAATGGCTAAACTTTGATCGCGCACTAGGAATTTCTCGAACCAACTCCGTGCATTGTTCAATACTTTGAGCGCAACTTCTAATGGATATTACCCGTGCAAGAACAATTGATTACATTTTGATCACATTTGGACGATTTAACTTCGAGTGGGTAAAATTTATTTACTGGTCTGTTCGTATGTCCAGTACTTCTTTTGATATTTGCTGTTCGTACCAGTCCGTCTTTTCCCTTGATTAAACTTTCTACAACAGCAAGTCTCCAATTAACACGTTTCGTGTCATCGTGTACATGCACCACATCGCCAACACGTCTCTCGGTTGAATTGTTTCCAGTGGTTTTATGAAATTCCCGTAAGCCCGTCAGATATTCTTGACGGCAACGTTTCCAAAAGTGTTGTATTAGGTGTGTTCTCAATTTTGCTTGGACGTCAATGTTACTAGGTTCGGATTTATAGATAGGATCACGAAACTCGTCGTCTTCGTAAAGGGGGTAGGGTAAGGTGGCAATCCTGCGGCCATACAGTAGATGGAATGGTGTTAGTGGTTCTGCGTCTTCTAGTTCCGAAGATACATGGGTTAACGGGCGGTCATTAAGGATTGCTTCCGTTTCGGAGGAAACTGCTTGGAGCTCTTCTAACGTGACGTTCGCCTTTCTGAGAACCTTTTTCAAGGAGTTCTTTGTCAGATCAATTAATCTTTCCCAGAAACCACCGTACCATGGTGCTCGTTTTGGGATATATTTCTACTGGATTCCTCGTTTGCTGAGAATGGTTTCCAACTCTGCTGACAAGAATAGTAGGGTCAACTCTTCTGCGGCAGATTGGTACGTTGATGCGTTGTCTTATACCATAATTTTTGTAACGACTTGCGGCTTGCGAATCTTCGAAAGGCAGACATGAAGGTCGGAAGAGTTAAATTTGTGACTACTTCGAGGTGGACTGCGCGTGTATTTGCACAGGTGAACAAGCAGATGTAGACCTTTTCTTGTCCACGTGGCATTTTGACGTAAATGCCTCGGTGAAGTCTACAGCGGTGACGGTAAATGGGTGGGAATCAGTCATTCTATATATCGCATTGAATGGTGTTCCGAAGACCTTTCGACACGTTGGACATTTGCGAAGTATTTTCTTGATGTACTGGCGAGCTGTTGGAATCCAATACTTCTGGCGTATTTGAGTCAGGATTTGGTTTAATCCACCGTGTTGTAGTTCTCGTGTACATCGTTGACAACCAGCAGAGTGAAATGGTGGTTTGGGGGTATGAGTATGGGAAACTTTGCTGAATATTCCACTGGTACGTGCATTGTAAATTCTGCCACCACAGCGAATGATGCTGTCTTCCAGAGTAAATAGGCGAAGCTGACGTACAAGGGGTAGACGAGAGGTTTTCGGCTTTTGTATGTTGGAAAGTTCCTTACCGTAGGCGTCGTTTTGGATTTCCCGTATCCAAACATTTCTCGCGTTTTCAACTTCATACATACATACATACATACAAAACTTTATTTAAACCACGCTAGCCTCAACAGCCGTTGCATGGAACGCTGGTTTCCATGAGGGGCGTGAAATTACCTATTTACAGGAAATTAACTATATACAACAAATACAAAATATAACAAAAAAATACAAGTGATTTTAGCTGCACGATTACACACAAGCAAATTTCATCTCATTTTTTGTTTCAATATTGATTTGAAAGAGCTTAAGGATTCAGCAATATTTGACTCATGGGGAAGATTATTCCAATGCAAGGTACCATTATAACTGAAGCACCTCTTGCCGAATTCTTTTTTCGGCATAAGTGGTGGTAAATGAGTATCCCTATTTCTAAGATTGTAAGTATTATGTCTTTCATTATTAAACTGAAACGCTTCTTTAATTTGGTGGACCTTTACTGGTTTTCCCTTACATACGTTGCCCTTTTTCAGGGTATTAACGAAGAGAAGTACCCATGCTGTAGTTCGCAACAGTCGTCGAAGGTCACTGAATTTGGTAGGAGCAATAATCTGGGTTATGCTGGCGTTTGTAGATGTGTCGGTGACTAATTGGCAGTGACTTCGCTTGTTTTTTTATCTGTGTCCGGGGAGGACTGCAGAAGAACCTTTTTAGGTTTCCATTCTGGCCAGTGGTCGTTGTTGGTTAGCCAAGGTGGGCCATGGGTCCACAGATTGGAAAGGTTGTCTGCCGAGATTCCTCGAGTTGGATTGTCAGAAGTTGGACAGTAGTTCCTGGTGGCATTGTTGGTGGCTTGGTGGATTTCCTTAACTCGGTTCTGAATAAAGCACTTCAGTTCTTTTTGGGAGGAAAACCAATAGATAACGATTTGACTGTCCGACTAGAACACGATTTTGGTAACCTTCAGATGACTGGACAAGTAAGAAGCAAGTCTTGCACCAGTAACAGCTGCCATCAATTCAAGTTGCGGAAGTGTCAGTTTTTTTCAGTGGAGCAACGCGAGACCTTGACATAACCATGGAGCTATGTGAATTGGAAGTGACATAGGCGACTGTCCCATAAGCTTTGGTGCTTGCATCGACAAAGATGTGAAGCACTACGTTTGATGGCCACAAAGATAGCAGCGGAAAATATCTGCGTTGAACTTCGGTCTGAGTTGCAGCTTCCAAGTCTGTGGAAAGTTTGACCCATTTTTCAATCAGTGGTTTTGGTAGCGGTTCATTCCAAGCGTATTTCAGTTCCCAGAGCTCTTGAAGGAAGATCTTGGCACGGATAGTGATAGGAGTGATGAGACCGAGGGGATCATATATCTTACAAGACGTTCGTAACACATCTCGCTTAGTTATGGACACCACGTTGTCGTTGGGATCAGTAAGTGGACGTTTTTCTTGAAGCTTGAGCGTATCGACTTTACTGTTCCAGGCAAGACCAAACAGTTTTGCTTCGGTGTTGTCATCTTGGGCGTTTTCTTCATTGGCGAGTGCACGAATCTTTGAACTGTTCGAGATCCATTCACGCAAATTGAAGTCGGCAGAAGACATTATGGACTGGTGTGTTTGAAGTAGATCGCGGCTTCGTCTTCGTTATCTGTGCCAGAAGACAAGTTGTCGACGTAGATGTCATCTTTCATTCGTTGTGTGATTGGATCGTTGTAGCTGTCAAGGTGCTTCTTGATCGCTGCGTTCAAGATAAACGGGGAACACGATGCACCAAACAAGATGGATTTGAACCGATACACGTCAAATAAAGCTGCTTTCGGGGTTGGTTTGGTCGGATAGCCAAAAAAATCTTGTTGCATCTCTATCTCCTTCATCTAGAGAGATATTCAGGAAGGCTTTCTCTATGTCTGCGTTTAAGTGGCAGTCCCGCTAAGAGCGGTCCGATGACTTTGACTTCGGAAAATAGATTTCCTTTATTTTTTGTGTGTTGAAAGGCATTGGTATACAAGTGTCCAAAATAAATTTATATTTTGAAAATTCTTTTTTATGGCTTCGCTAGACGCCGAAATTCATTTTACCGTGCAGAGCTATTTTGAAGCAAAATCGAAGGTTGAATTTCGGTAAATTGTAGAGCCGCGCTGAGTCAAAACGCCTGACTATTTCCAAATTTCAACTAGATCAACAAGTTAAGATACAATTCAGGTTCTCTGTTCCAAAAAATAAGAGCATTTGAATAAATCGTGAATAAACAACAGCAACTTGACGGCGCACC